AGAGCCGAGGGCGCCCGGGGACCGGCGGGCGGAGCGCAGCGGGGCGCCGCCGGCCCCGGGGCGCAGCAGGCATGGTGTCCCAGGCGCTGCAGCTGCTCCGGCAGGGCGTGTGGGCCGCGCTCACCGGCGGCTGGTACCACGACCCGGAGCAGAGCAAGTTCACCAACAGCTGCCACCTCTACCTGTGGCTGTTCCTGCTGCTGCTGCCCCTGGCCTTGCACCTGGTGAGTGGGGAGGTTCGAGCCGGGGAGACGTGAGGGTGGAGGCAGGAGGGGAGAAAGCCACCCCAACCTGCGTGTCTGCCTCGTGATGGAAAGGGCTGGCAGCGATTCTTAAGGGATGGGATGAAGAAGTATAAACGTACCGTTATGAGATAAATAAGTCACGGGGTGCAATGTACGGCGTGGGGAACACAGTCGGTAATAATTGTATTAACTTTGTAAGGTGACAGACGGTAACTGGACTTGCCGCGGTGACGGTTTCGCAGTGTATACAAATGTCGAATCACTCTGTTACACACCACGAACTAATATAGCATTGTACGTCAGTTACACCTCAATTGAAAAGAGAAAAGTTGGAATGAGGACGGCCCTCGGGATTTGGGGACAGAGGAAGTACAGGGAAAGGGGGACAGGGACTCGTTAGCAGGAAAAGAAGTAGAAAGGACTTTGGGGGCTCTGGGACTCATTAAGAATTGACGCTGACTGTCAGGATGAGTCAGACTCTGCTTGTGGCCGGGGGATGTGGAACCTGTTTTGTAGGTGGAAAATCCTAGGCCTTCTGGCTGGTTAGCTGGGCATGACGGCCAAAATGCAAAATGAAATGTTAAAAACAAACCTATTTCAGTTGTTGATCTTCTAATCCCCCTCCCCTCCTTTCCTGTTTTGCTTTGAGAAGGCAGGTTCAATGATCAAGTACTCAACTTTCGATTTCCACGCCATTATGTAAAGAAATCTGTAGGAAGATATATCACTGGGTAAATCTAATGTAGTTTACGCTAAGCATTACAGTACCTAGTTGGGGCTTGCCACTTTAATAGGTTACCATAATTGAGCGCTTGCAGAATCACTACATCATGACCTTCTTGGGTAAATTAAATATACCTAATTGAAACAATGTTTCAATCTGAAGAGAAACCGTACAGATAAAGGGTTCCATGTCTTATTCAATGTTCTGTGCCAAGGATCTGATTTTGATAGCTCTGTTGAAAGACTTTATTCCAGGGGCGCCTGGGTGGCGCAGTCGGTTGAGCATCCGACTTCAGCCAGGTCACGATCTCGCGGTCCGTGAGTTCGAGCCCCGCGTCGGGCTCTGGGCTGATGGCTCAGAGCCTGGAGCCTGTTTCCGATTCTGTGTCTCCCTCTCTCTCTGCCCCTCCCCCGTTCATGCTCCGTCTCTCTCTGTCCCCAAAATAAATAAACGTTGAAAAAAAAAAATTTAAAAAAAGAAAGACTTTATTCCTAAAATGAAATTTAATCATCTTCTCCCCTGCAAAAATCTTCAGTGAGTTTGCACAGCTGATGAATTCCAAGTTCAACATTAGAGGCTGTCCATGATCTGGCTCCTGTTTTCCTCTTTCTGGCGGTTTATCCAGAGGGTCAGAATTCTAACTCTGAAATCAGGCTGCCTGAGTTAAATTTTGGGTCCACCTCTTACCAGTACTATGACCTTGGGGAAGTTGCTTACATTATCTTATTTTTCATTTTCTTAGCTGTAAAATGAGAAAAACAATACTACCAGATGGACGGTGTTGTTTAGGGGCTTAAATGAGACACTGCACATACAGCCATCCACCTGTCTGGCTTGACCCAGGAATGGACACAGACCTGTTTTAAATTTCTGTTTTGCGGCAGAGTAGCTGCTTGGCGTGATGTTTAACCTCTCTAAACCTTAGTTTTCTCAGCCTTAAAACGGATGTGATAATGATCATGTCTCGGGAAAAGCAAGTAAATTTTTGTATAAAAGGCATTGAGATGCAGAGGCTGATCCATGGATGCCCTTCAACATGTTAAGTTTCCTTCTTCTTCTGTGACCTTGTTCATCGTTTTTCCCTGGCCCGTAGGTCTTGATGTTTTTCTCTTTGCCTGGAGGGGCAGCGTAGCTGGGTGATGAGGAACACAAACTTGGGTTCAATCTTGGTTCTTGTGCTTACCAGCTCTGTGAGCTTGAGCAAGCTCGAGCTTTCTGGTGTGTAAAGCAAGGATAATAGTACCCCCCTTATAGGGCAAATATGAGGGTTGATTGAATGAATGAATGAAAATGCTTCTCAGTACCTGGCACATAGTGACTGTTCAATATGAGCTGGGCTTCCTCCCCCTCCCCCTGCCCTTTTCTCATCATTTACTTTCCATAATCTCTCCATCCTTCTCTGTCTCAGTTTCCCTGATTTCCATTCAGCTAGAATTAACTTCTCTTCTCTCTTGCCTTTACCCCATTCTGTATTTACTGTTGGTATAATAGCACATTTTGAATTCTGCTTTGCACTTAGTTGCTGGAACATGTACCTCTGCTTCTAGATCATGGGTTTTGATTTTGTCGATTCATCTTGCTTTTTCACAGTGCATCTAGCAAAGTGTCCTGCATTTGGTTAACCGTGATCTCATATATAATAAACTTGTGGCAATAAAATCAACCTGTATCTTTCTGTTCCATCCAACATTATATTGTCTACCTCACTGTATATTTTCAGTATTTCTGAAAATTAAAGCAATATATATTTCACCTCTAATCCCTCTCCTCAGCAACAACCACATTTACATGTAATGCATATTTCTATAGATTTTTTTTTAGGTATGTGGGCTCATTTTTACATAACTCCTTATAAGATTTGATGTGTGCCTGTGATCAGAATCCTTAATTTCTATCTAATTATGCTTTATTGAGTAGCTTGACTCTAACTTGTATTTGTAAATAGGAAATTGCCCTTAATTAAGTTCCTCTTTAATGCTATTTTAAAATAATTTTTTTTTTGGCTAGATCTCAAGAGTTTAGGAAGTAAAAAACTGATACCTTAAATAATCTTACTCTTATATTGGATTTTTTGGATCAGACCAGTTATACCAAAATTTTTGTATCTTTTTGCCAGTGTGCTTTGACCTATTATAGAATAATTTTATGTGAATGCATTTGTTGTCCTGCTACTTTTTAAATGTATCCTATCTTTTAAAAAATGCAGCTTATCCCTTTGTTTCTCTGGTCTTCTGGTCTCTGAATGTGACCTTAGCAATAAAAGACCCTCCTTCCTCAGCAGAGGGTTCTGTGCTACTAAGTCTTGAGGTTTAAATATATTCTTCTGAGCTTCAGGGCTGCCTGGGGTTGCTAACATCTTTTTCAGTTTTTTCCGCTTACAGGAACTTAGTCCAAAAAAACTACCTGACTGCTCACTGATAGCAGGGGCTTATTTGAAGTTCTGTTATTTAAGGGGTCCTGAACTTTCCTGATTTTTGCAGTTTGAGTTGAAACATGTTTAACCAAGATAGTTCTACTGTAGGGAGAATCCATACCTTTCAATTTGATAGGGGCTTTGAGTATGTAAATTAAAACTTTATTATTAATTATTGAGGCAAACTTATCTCTGAGCCCTAGAGTTTCCTGAGGCCTGGTTGATAATGTGGAAACTAGATTATTTATTAGCATTTATAAGTTATTCACATCTTTTTGGGAAATGCTAAAAAATGCACAACTATAAACACGAAGCCACTTTGGATAATTTGGAAAGAGTTTTACTTTGATTTATTACCGATCTGATTTTCTTTCGGACGAACTGAAAGATGCATTTGTCATTAGAGATATTTAAACTGTCACTTACTACAAGGGGCTTGTGCTTATTCTTGTGAGATAACAGACGGACATTCTTGTGAAGCGTTAGAACAGGAATGCCCTGGGCGTGATGCTGACCCTGTTCTGGCGACACTAGGCCAGTGTCCAAAGGCATCTCTGCTCTACCCTCTACGAATTGTGTGATTGTGCAAGTCACTTCACTTCTCCAAGCCTCAGTTTCAGCCTCTGTAATAGGGGGAGTATGGGTTTCATTTTATAGATTCAGCAACTGAAATCCAGAGGGGAGTAGGTTACCTGCCTAAGGCCATATAGACTATAGGTGGTAAAATTCAGAATTTTCGCTGAGGTCCTGTTGTATCCCAGCCCTTGGCCTTTCCACAACACTGTGCGGCCACATCTGCTACACAGGAGAGCATCTGAACTCCCTGAAGCAGTAGGCCCTCAAAAAGTGGCCTTCTGATTATCCTGGTGGTGGTAGGACCAACGTGAGTAGAACAAGAGTTGAAGAGTGGAAAAAATGGGTTGGAAACTTGATATTCTTTAAGATCCATTGGAGGGCAACATTGTGTATGATTTTCACACCGAAAGCCTGTCTTTTATTTTAGGACTATAGCTTTATGTTCCCTTTCCTTTTCTTTTTGCCAGACTTGCTGTTTCCAGTTCTGCCTTTTAATTTAGTGTTAGAGACTTTCTTTGGTAGGAACCACTTCATTTCTAATTGCTCTGATTATCCAGTGGGATTACCTACCTGGGAATGCAAGCTGGTGCAGCCACTCTGGAAAGCAGTATGGAGGTTCCTCAAAAAACTAAAAATAGAACGACCCTACGACCCAGCAATTGCACGACTAGGCATTTATCCACGTGATACAGGTGTGCTGTTTCGAAGGGACACGTGCACCCCCATGTTTCTAGCAGCACTGTCAACAATAGCCAAAGTATGGAAAGAGCCCAAATGTCCATCGATGGATGAATGGATAAAGATGTGGTATATATATACAGTGGAGTATTACTCGGCAGTCAAAAAGAGTGAAATCTTGCCATTTGCAACCACGTGGATGGAACTGGAGGGTGTTATGCTAAGTGAAATTAGTCAGAGAAAGACAAAAATCACATGACTTCACTCATATGAGGACTTTAGGAGACAAAATGGATGAACATAAGGGAAGGGAAACAAAAATAATATAAAAACAAGGAGGGGGACAAAACATAA